TTCCATACGCCGTAGTGGGTCTGAAAATACTCAGCGATCCATCCGGTCAAAAAGTGGAGAGGAATTGTCGACCGAACTTGCCCAGGACATGATGAATCCGCGATCTGGTTTAGCCCCCTATAAATACTGGTTAAGACTGGAATGGCCAAGCTTACTGGAAATCCCGACGCTAGGACACTTGCCATCTTGAAAGTCGAAGGACGTATCAAACCAACATCGTCGAGCGGAAGCACAAAGATGCAAAGCCAACAAGAAAGGAACGCTGCGAGAAAAGTCTCCTCAAGGTGCTCCCGTCCAACTTTGAGTTTGGCAAAAGATGACTCCTGCGCCTTCGACCATGGCTCGTGGGCACCAATCTCTCCGGTAGGATTGTAAGTCGCATCAGGCCGAGAAGAACGAGTAGACTCCTTGCCACGACGAATTTGAGGACGCTCGTATTTGACGGTCTTTTCGCACCAAAAAGAAATCCAGTCGGTTGTGCGGACGCCACGTCGACCTTTGTCACGACTCCGAAGAAGGTGATAGGCATGCAACAGGTATCGGCACGAACGGGGAACCAGCTTCCTATCCTCTTTACTGCCATATAGCTCCTTTGCGCTTGGTACCACCTCTTCGTAAAATGAGCCGAGTATGGGGAGGCCCGCCAAGGACGCCAAGTCACGGAGAGAGATCGACACTTCACCGGCGGCGGTCAAAAGGGTGTTGGTTTTGGGACACCACGCCTCGCAAACGGCCTTGACGATCTCCGGAGAATAGTCGTAGGAGAACAAGGAAGCATAGACCGCATCGTAAATGCATCCTCTCTTTAGTGGAATCTCGCATCGATCCAGCACATCCTCCGCCCATTCCCAATAGCCGGCCACGTACGAAAAGTTGCCATCAAAAGAAGGAAGACCATTCCAAACGCACGCCCCATCCATGATCCGCCGCCCCAAGGTTGGAAGTGGAAGAACATCGTTTGACACGTGTTGATGAAGTGAGGATTGCAAGGTATGCTTTCCGCCAGCGACATTCCGAGACCACGCCTTTGGGAAATTTGGGACCTCCAAGCGAGGGCGAGCAGCTCCGCGTCCTATGAGTGGTGGATGCACCAATAGACGAGTCGCCTTGTCCAGCGGTTGACCTTCAAACTCGCAAATCACCAACTCGGCGTTTCCAGAGGGGGAGGAGACATCCTTGAAGTAAGCCATCTCGCCTACAAAAAAAATATATATATATAAGCAAAGATCAAAAGATGAAAAAAAAAAAAAAAAAAAAAAACAACACAAGAGGAATAAGCCTACCCTAGAATGAGAGAAATCAAAACTGTGAGAAGTTGAGAATGATAAGGTTCTCTCATGGTGAGGGGTTTATATAGTGTCTAAAAATTGAGATATGGAAAGACATGTATAAAAAAAGGAAGGAAGATAAAAATAAAAACAAAGAATAAAGGAAAGAATATATATATATATATGATGTGTATATATATATATATATATATTTTGCAAATACGCCATTTAAAAAAAAATGGCAAAGATGCCATTTATTAAAAAAAAAAAAAAAAAAAAAAAAAAAAAAAAAAAAGAGAGAAAAAAAAAGAGAATTTTGCAAAAAAAAAAATGTCAATTTTGCGAAAAAAAAAAAAAAAAAAAAGGAAAAGAAAAGAGGCAAAAACGCCATTAAAAAAAGCAAAAAAAAATGTCAATTTTGCAAAAAAAAAAAAAAAATGGCAAAAACGCCATTATTATTAAAAAAAAAAAGAGAAAAAAAAAGAATTTTGCAAAAAAAAAAAAAAAAACTTGCATAAAAAAATGGCAAAAACGCCATTTACAAAAAAAAAAATGCAAAACAAAAAAAAGAATGGCAAAAAAAAAAGGGCCATTTAAAAAAAAAAGAAAAAAAAAAAAAAAATTCTTTTTCTATGTTTCGAGACTCGTTCACGCCTTAAATATTTTGTGTCGGCTTAAACAAGTCTCGAGGGGGCATTTTGTAGACACTAAAAATATATGTCTAAAATCAATTAAATATCATGTATTTTGGAAGAAAATAAAATTCCAATAAAATAAATATATGGTATTTAATTATGCACATATGTTAATTTTTGTACAATAAATATCAACCATTAGTGCAAAATCTGCTTAAAATGGAAGATATCGTACAAATATTACGTGCATAAATAGAGCCATAATAAATTTGGCAGCAAAATAAATTAATCTTGTCAATAAAGGAAGTATATAAATTAATATCTTCCAAACAAGGCAATGATATAAAGATCTTGTCAATAAAGGAAGTATATAAATTAATATCTTCCAAAAAAGGCAATGATATAAAGATTTTGACGAGAAAGGAAGGTGCATAATCAAATCCGTCAAAAATGGAAAACGGCATCCGAGGGAAAAGGAAAGATTATAAAATCTTTCCATCCACGTGGCACCATCCGAAAAGGAAGCCAAGGCCACCCTCCCCTATAAATAGGAGCCTTGGCCAATTCATTTAGACACCGAAGTTCATTTGAAGACTCGCGCAAGGGTAAGTCTCTCTAGACTCTTTGCAATGTTCTTCATTGTTCTTCGTGTCCTTCGAAGCGTTCTTCGTCGAAAAGTCACCGATTTGGACAAATGATCCAATATTGGTTGACGAATCGATGAAGTTAACGTTCTTCGTCGTATGTCCGAGCCGGAGGAAGGATCAAATCTCTCAAAGCTATCGAGGAATCCATCAAAGCCAAGGAAGAGCCTCCAAAGTCGCTCCCAAAGCTTGAAGATGTTCGTAGCGTTCTTCATAAAAGGCGCAAACCAGGCCCTCTTCGATCCAAAAGTCAAAGGGACACGCCGCCAAAAGCGTTATGGAGCACCAAATCTCTCCCTCAAAGATCAAATTCCGTCGGATCATCCAAAGGAGGCATCAATCCAAAACCGACGATCAAAATCGCCAACATGGATACCAAAGTCCTTCAAAAGCCGGCGAAGTCAAACCGAAGACCAAAATCCCTTCGGATCAAAGAAGCCACCCAAATCCAAATTGGAAAAATGGATCGACCCGGAGAGAGAATCAAAGGATCCGAATAGAGAATAGGACCCGCATTAAATTTAAATACAAATATAATTTGTACAAATTTTGTGTTTATAAAAATATAACACAATTTTTTTGTCTACAATAATAACAACAACAACACCAATAATAATAATAATAATAATAATAATAATAATAATTTTAAAAATCCATCAAAATCTATAGTCATCGTGAGAGATTATATTATATACAAAATTTTCACAATTTTTCATTAAAATCATAGACTTTGAAAGTAAGTTTATGAATTGTTAATATCGCAAAATTTTAAAAGACTTTTAAAAATTTTTGAAAATCTGTATTGAATACCTCAACATTTTACTGATTTTTAAAAGTCTTGATTGAATACACCCAAATTTTAAAAGTTTGAATACACATAGATTTTAAAAATTTGACAAAATCCTACAAACTTTACATTGAATACACCCCCTAAATAAATATGATAATTATTCGTTGTAGTATATTCTAGGTATTTATCGAATTACATGTAGTTACTTACTGTAATTATTTTTCTCGATTTCAAATAGTGAAAAAAAAAAAAAACAATAAAGATGATAATTATTATTCAATATATTTAGTAGGTATTATAAATTTATCAAATTAAATTTAGTCACTGTAATTATTTTCCGTGATTTCAAATGACGAAAAAAAAAAATGAAAAAAAGATGATGATTATTCAATATATATAAGTACTGAAATAATTATATTATCATTTAACAATTTTTTATTATTACATTGCAGGCAAAAATTAACGGCTAGGCCATACTATAGATCATGATATTCAATGCAATATGGTAAAGATTATTATTATTATTATTTTCTTTATGGCTGTGTTAGTTTCAATTTTCTTTTAGTGAATTTCTACTGTTTCTATAATTTTTCAAAAAAAATATATATTAAATTAAATATTTTTTAATGTTATATTAACAATCAATTTTATATTTAACAAATATTCTAATTTAAAAATTGATTATAATCATAATACTGCATTAAAAAAAATCAAAGAAGTAGAGTTTTTTTTTTCCACAATTTTTGAAAAATACATTTTTTTAAAAAAACAATTAATATATTATATATACTTATTATTTTTATATTATTTATATATTTTTTTTTAAAAAAAGGAAAAAAATGCACAATGGTCATATTTCTTAACTAATTACAGCAAAATAGCAAAGAAAATTAAATTTGATTCAGTACTCAGAATGTATGTACCCAATTTTATTACAATTTGCTTTGATTGACTATTTTCTTTACTGTTTAATTAGTTTTATAAATAATATATTAAATGATAAAAGACAATTTATGTATAAATTAAAAATTCTATAAAAACTTTAAATAAAAAATTAAAAATGAGGTAATAGTATGTATAATAATAAGTAAACATTAATAACAAATAATAATTATTTTGGTAAGTATTTTAATATAAAAATTAATCTGCAAATTGAAGTATGAAAGAAGAAAGTTTCAAAGTGGGGTTATAAATGGGTTATTCTGACCACTTCATTCTGTTTAAGACACTGTCGTATGTGAATCTCCTTCCCGTTGACTTCTGACCAATTTTGACTTTGGACTGCCGACTCGAAGTGGAGTTGACTATTGCAGGCCCAATTCCACAAATTAATATCTTAGTGGGAAAACCAATAGTTGGTGAAAAAAACAGCAACCTTTGAATTGCTATTAATTTTTACTTTTAACAGTTTCAGCACCTCTCTGACAAAAACATTTCGTGAACTCCAAATGTATTAATTACCAATTGATTTTTTTTTTTTTTTTTTTTTTTTAATGATATGGAAATCTGCTGTAACACACCTAGTACCTAGGGACTAAGCTCGACAGGTAAGTAACACACCTAATACCCACAGACTAGGCCCGACAGGCAAGTAACACTAGGCGAAGAATATGCAATAAAAGTCGAGCATATGCAAAAAAGAACATACCAAAAATTTTAAAAATGATCGAAATTTCAAATTTGTGTTAGAAGAACAAGGAACTCTACAAAATTTGTTCATACTTCTCCACAACCAAACCTCGGAAGCTAAATTGCATCTCATGTGTAAGAAAGTATACATCCAAAGTTGCTTCAAAGAAGCCAACTTTGTCATGTAGAAACAAAAAATGAATCAACAACAGCTCTCCTCATACATGTCCGTACCGAACACCTCGTCGACTCCGGCTCAGGCTTCGTCGGAGCTTCTTACATCATCGGTGGTCTCGCCGAGAGTGAACCGGACAAACCGTCTAACCTTAATGTTCTCGCCGAGCGCCGCAACCGTTTGCTTCACCAAGTCCTTGACCATCAAGCTATCATCGCGAATGAACGGCTGCTCGAGCAGCGCCAGCTCGGAAAGTCTCTTATTCACCCGTCCCTCGACGATCTTTTCTCTGATATTCTCGGGTTTTGACTGTACGTCGTCTCTCTGCAGCTCCAGCTCCTTCTCTTTGCCGACAATGTCCTCCGGGATATCCTCGATCGACACGTACCGCACTTGGGGGCAGGCGACGGCTTGCATTGCAAGATCATCCACCAGTTCCTTGAAGTTCTGACCTCTTCCCACGAAGTCGGTTTCGCAATTAACCTCGATCAGAACTCCGATCCGTGAATCGTGGATGTAAGCTCCGATTCTTCCCTCCGCAGCAAGACGGCTCGATTTTTTATCCGCCGTCGATAGGCCCTTCTTCCTGAGGTACTCCTGAGCCTTCTCGAGATCGCCTCCGGTTTCGGAAAGAGCCTTCTTGCAATCCATCATTCCTGCTCCGGTTTCGTCTCGTAATTGTTTAACGAGCACGGCAGACACGACGGGTTTAGGAGACCTACATTTACTAGAAATAAGCGACGGATAATGTGTTAATGTCACAATCAATATGTAGTCGATTAGATCCGTACTCCGCAGGTTCTTTTGTGTCTGTAGAAATAGCCTCCTGATTTGTTGGTGTCGACGTCGGCTTAGCTGCCGTCTGCGCGGCAACTTCAGCAGCGAAATCTTGGCTTTTCTTTTCCAAACCTTCTCCGAGGTTGTACCGAATAAATCTCTTGACTTTGATGTTCTCTCCGATTGTCGAAATGGTCTGTTTCACCCAGTCTTTCACTGCAACTTTATCATCCTTGATGAAGGGCTGCTCCAATAGGGTAAGCTCCTCCAGCCTCTTCCGCACTCGTCCATCGACAATTTTGGATCGAATTTGCTCTGGCTTTGACAGGAGATCGTCTTTCTGCATTTCTATTTCTTTCTCCTTATCGACAATTTCTTTTGGAACGTCGTCAGTATCCAGGTATTGCACTTGAGGGCATGCTGCAACTTGCATCGCCAAGTCCTCGACGAGCTCTCTAAATATTTCGCCTCGAGCGACAAAGTCAGTTTCGCAGTTCACCTCTATGAGGACACCTATCCGGCTGTCGTGGATGTATGAGCCGATTCTGCCTTCGGCTGTGGCTCTGCTGGCTTTCTTATCAGCGCTTGCCAAGCCTTTCTTTCGAAGGTATTCTTGAGCTTTAACTATGTCTCCTCCAGCTTCCGATAAAGCCCTCTTGCAATCCATCATTCCAGCTCCTGTTTCCTCGCGCAACTGCTTCACGAGAGCTGGGGATATAACAGCTGCAATCCAAATAAAGATAACATTTGTAACATGCTGATATCATTCCAATTGTATCATAAGGAAGTTAGAAAGGAAAATAAACAGCTAGTTTATTATATGCACAGGTCAATTGAATAAATGAAGAATTCAAGACCTCCAACTGTTGCTTCTTTTTGAGAAGTTTCGCCACTCTGTTCACTTAGAGTAGCAATATTTCCATTCTGCTGAGCATCGGAAGAAGGTTGTGCTTCCCCTTCTATCGCAGTGACATTTCCCAGCTCATCGCCAACTTCTACGTTCACAAAACTCTCTGCAAACACATGTTATCACTTTAGCACAATTCGAGAGAAAACTCTTCAATATATTTAAACTCTTTGTTCCGAGAAATCAAGAATACCATCTATTTCCATCTTCGAAATTGGAAAATAAATAATTGGGACAAAATAGGCTGTCCTGTAATTTCCATATGCGGGTATAGCAGATGATAGTGAATCAATGTTACCAGTGAGGACTATTAGAGTTCTCCCCATATGTATTTAATTGCATGAAATGGATTAAGAGAGTTTAATCACAAACCTGTGGGTTCGATCTCAGGGTCAGACAAACTACTTTGTTCGGCCGAGCTTTCAACACCATCATCTTTCTCTGCAGTATTTACTTCTTCATCCTTCACTATAACAACATCATCTGCCTTTTCTGTATCTTCTCCAACAATATGAGGTAATGTCTGATCAGTTGATTCACCTGACGTCTGCAGCACTTCCACTTCTTTTTCCGTTGTATCATCACTTATGTTTGATGTAACGTCTTCAGCAATACTCGACAAGGGTTGGTCACTAATGGGCTCTTCAGTTTGATATTCACTTGCAGACAAAGAATCTCCAGAAATCTCCAAGTCACTTTGTGAGGTAGAAGAAAATGCTGCTTCTGGTTTCTCAATTTGTGCTTCATCTTTAACAATCGATTCATCTGCTTTCTCTTCAACTTCTTCTAATGATGAAGGCTCCTCAGCTATCTGATCTTCAGCAGGCAATCCTTTCCCCTCTTCAACAAGTACAGCCGAGCTTGCCTCAACTTCCTCAACGATTCCACTTTCAGAATCCTGTTCAGGTGTTTCTTCCTGGACCAAGTTTTTGGACAAAGCATCATCTGTTGTACTGACAGGCGTGTCAGTTTCTGTCACAACTTCATTCTTCTTCTCTCTACTATCTAGAAGTTCAGAGATGGCCTTGTCGCTACGAAAAGCAACAACAAAGGGATTGGTTGCCGTATACACAACACCCTGGTTGAGTTTGGCATCCAGCTCCCCTTTATTTTCTTCCTTTTTCATTGTTAAAGTTACCTGTCCTCTAGTAATGCGCAATACCCGAACACTAACTTCTTGGCCCACTTCCAAAGAAGAGCCGCCCATCATGTTTCCGAACCCCTCATCAGCCTCCTCTGATGTAGGCAGGAATCCTTCCTCACCTTCAGGGAGAGAAATGAAGGACCCAGATCTTGTTAAATTTTTTACTGTCCCCTCAAGATCTTGCCCCTTGACAAACTTTGATGTCTTCTTCGAATCATCTCTATTCTGATTGAATTTCTGACCTGTCTTACGTGGTGGCCTTGATTTATCCCCACTACCTGTAGAATCTCTTTGTTGGGGATCATCAACTCCGCGCATGCTTAAAGATATTCGGCCTGTTTCCATGTTGGCTTCTAATAAAGTTACAGCCACTTCTTGTCCAACAGACACTACATTGGCAACATCCTTTACAAAACTGTTACTCAACCTTGAGACATGAATAAGCCCATCTGTGAAAGCACCGAAGTCAACAAAAGCGCCGAATGGCTGGATTGACCTAACTTTTCCAGTAAAAGTTGCTCCAGGAATAAGATCTTCATTCTTTACTGGAGGCATCTCGCTCTTTCTTCCCGGCCTTGTACGCTTAGATTTAACAGGACTTGCATCAGATTTGGCAGATGATTCCCCAATAGCTTCTGGTGCATCTGCCTCAGCTGTTGAAGTTTCATTGTCAGCTGAAGTCGGATTTGCTTCCTCTACAGCAACATCAGTCCCAGAGGCAAACACTGTATTAAATCTCAGCTTGGGTTTTAAACCACACCCTATCCGAAAATGGGGAAAGAGTCTAATAGATGTTGACAAAGGCACGGTGTACTTTTGTGCTGGTAATGATTGTTTTGTGTGACGCCGGGGGATGCTACATTTGGTTAGAAAGTTGCTCTTTTTGGTTGTGAAGGGGACACGTGGAGCAAGTGAGATATTGATAGTGGAACTTGGGACTACAGGAGCCATGTCAAGTTGTAAGAAGAACAATCACCAAAGCAAACACTTGTTCATCAATTTAATCACCTGAGACACAATGTAAACAGAACGGGGATAATGCAGGGTGATTCAAATGGATAGCATCCAAACTAGAACAATACGAGAATCCTTCTTTCACAATCTACATTAGCTAATTGATGAAAACACCTAATTATAAGTTACTTAGTTTCCAAATGGATAAGAAGGATGATTCTATAGAGTTCAAAGGTTAAACAAAATGAAACTCCTATAGCTGCTGCTAAGATCCTATGTATAGCCCCAGGCATTTGGTTTTCAACTAAAAATGCTGCACCAGGGAAGATAAGGACAAAACCCTTTACTTACCATCCTTACAAATGATCACAGCCTCTTATATGTTCACCGTAATCAATTGGACAAAGAAAATTTTCTAGAAAAATGATTTAGAAATATAAATGGAACTCCAAATGCTGGAAACTAGCAGTGAAAAAATGTAAATTTGCTGATGCTTACAAAGGTACACTGAGCCCTATGAATTCTTTAACTTCTGTAAATTAAGATGATTACTAAAACACGATGTATTTTTGAACTCTAGCAAGCTTAAAAAGGTGATGTTCATTACACCATTGTTAATCAAAACAGAGACGACGATGACAACAACCTTAATGTTCTGACTGTTGATCAGAATCCTTTCTACGATTACAAACAAAGGTTAACAGACAACACCATCACTCTTATCCAAAATTTCCAAACTTAACCTAATTACCATTGATACTTCAGTAAAGGAAGCAACAATAAACATAAAATTACAATTACAGCTAGCAAACTTTAACTTTGATAAAAACATGAGAAAGAAAGAAATTCGCTTCCAAGAATTCCTCTCGTTTCTAATTATCCAACAAATACGGACACTAAAGCCACACTAGAGTGCTAAACTGATCAAACACATTTCCCCGGAAAAAAAAAAAAGGGTTTAGTAAAACAAGAACATCAAATGCAGCAGCTCCTATCCACAACAATCAGAAAATCAAACTTGAACGACTTGGACAAGATTTTCAATCTATCGCCGACCATTAAGTGCAAAACAATTACCAATAATCCGCCGGCCAGGTTGGGGTAGAAGCTAAAGTGAGAGAGAATTCATTGGGGGTCGTCGCCCCTCCAGTCCAGAGCAAAGCAGCTGGTATAGGTAAGAAGAAAATAGAGGGAAATGAAAGGTGGGGCTTTAAATGAAATCCTTATCTGGTAGCCATTATCCTCAATTCTCACTGCGCAGCTGCAACTTATTTCGATTTCTTGTGTGGCACTGCTTCAAGTGAAGTATTTATGTATGTATGTCTGTACGTATGGTTGTCCAAAAAAAAATAAAAAATCAACAGCAACGAGCATGGGCGAGTTTTGTTCTGTAACTTCGTAATGTGGGCCAAACTGGGCCGGGCTGACTCGAATTGGGTTCACATGAGCCTCATTTAATTTATTTTAATTTTCTGAAATAATGGGTCTTTAGGGTTTATGTTTTACTTTGTAATTTTTTGAATTATTATTATTATTATTTAAAAATTAAAAAGAAAACAAAATAAATATAAATATGAGTATTCTAAAAAATATATTTTTTTATATAAATTAAATTACATCAAATATTATGTAAATTAAAAAATAATAATAATCTTCAAATAATCAAATCTCCATCCAAATCTTAAAAAAAAACACATGCAAGTATCCTTTAATATTTTATATGCAATCTCACAATTTTATTATAAAAATATATAATAAGGTTATTCTTTTTACTATTTCAAATTTAAATCAATATTATTTATCTTACACAATTTTTAATAAAAATATATTTCTTCGCTCCACTTCAAAGGGATCATTTGAGGTTTTGTAATAAATAAAAAAATAATATTATTTTATTGATTAGTAGAAAAATGCAAAATATTTTGATATTTTTATAAATTAATTGTATATGTAATAGTATGTTGGTAATTTATGTAAAAATTAAATATATTTTGGTATTTTTAATTTTTGTTAAAATAAATTAAAAAAAAAACGATACTTTTGAATGAGACATAAAAAATAAAATAAAAAATTACTTTGAATGGCAACTGAGGAAATATTATTTTCCCCAACAAATTATCGTATGAAAATTCTATTTAAACAAAAATTTAAATCAATATTTTATTTAAAATCAATTTACAACCGATTAAACTCATACAATCGTAAGAAAGTAAATTTTGTATTTATTTATATATAATAAATTCTTCATACTCAAATTCTATGACTTCATTTATATACATAATTTAAAATTTCGATATCATTCATTAAAATATTTTAAATATATATAATTAAATTCTTGTTTTCTCTCGTAAAATAACACATCAAATACATATATAACTTTTTTTTTCTTAAACTATTTTCACAATTTTTTAGTTTTTATTTTAAAAAAACTTCTAATGTGTTTGTGGGGAATTGGATTGGATTTACACTATTCATCCAATTTTTTTCTCCAAAAACATCAAATCAAACACCTATTTTTTATTTTTTATATTATACTAAAAATCAATTTTACATTCAAAACATCACATCAATACCTATTTATATCACATCATACACTATTCAAATTCAAAAATTTTTACTATTCAAATTCCAACTCAAAATCCAAACCCCAAACAAACACACCCTAAATAAATAGAGGTAACTTTGTTTTCTAATTCAATATATACACATGTTGATTAGTGGTTGTTTGGATATGAACAGCAATACATTATATATTTATTGATTTCTTTAGGGTAAAATAAATGTGAAGATACGAGAATGTTTTTGTTTGGCCAACTTTCTACTCATGGTTGGTGTTTGGTACTGTCTTTTCAAAACTTTCTTGTAAATATTTTTCAAAATGTGATTACTTGTAATTTTATTTTTATTTTTATATCTATTTTTAACATACGAATATATTTATATTGTATTAATTTTTCTCTAAATATTTAATTTAAATTATTATAAATAAAATAGTAATTAAATAAATCATTGTCTAACTTCCAAGTTCCACCCACATTAAGGACGTGAAGAAGGATTTCCGAAAGCTAGAAAGTGGGAACACAATATAGTAGTAAATCTGAATGGCCAATAAAATCAGTTTAGTACATAATAATTTAATTTAAATTTAATTTAATCTTTGCCAACACGTGGGCCTGCCAAGCCTTTCAACGACCCCATAAAAGTATAACCATTTCCAGTTGTACTCTTTTCAGACACACACTCTCTCACACACAATAATAATAATAATAATAAATAAATAAATGTTTGCATGAATTATTAGCACTAATTAGTGTCGACAGACACGACTCTCAGCACTATTATTCCTTCCTAACTAACAATTTAGTTAATTATTATGTAGCAAATCTTTTGCCTTCACTAAGCATCGATTCTCTATTACATACTATATATATACTTTCATATATTGCAATCGTCATGATGATATATCATAACGCCGCGTTCACAATAAAATATTATCTCCGTTGCTTAACGATCTATTCATTTTTTCATGGATAAACTGTCTTTTTAGTCCCGTAACTGGACATCTTTATCATTTTAGTCCGATAAGTGGAGTCTGTCGCAAATAAGTCCTATAAGTGAAAATTTTTCGCTGTTTTAGTCCTCCAGCGCCGGAGACGCCCGCGTGGCTCGCCGGAGGTGACGTGTCCGCCAGGTGTCCCGACAGGTCAGCGATACCTGGGTGACACGTGGATTTTATTTTATTTTATTTTTTTAATTGGACCAAATAAAAAAAATTAAAAAAATACAAATAAAATTTTGAATAAATTAAAAATAAGTTTTAAAAAAAATTAAAAAAATGAAAAAAAATAAAATAAAATCCACATGTCCGCCAGGTATCACTGACCTGGCGGACACGTCACCTCCGGCGAGCCACGCGGGCATCTCCGGCGCCGGGGGATTAAAACAACGAAAATTTTTCACTTATAGGACTAATTTGCGACATGCTCCACTTACAAGACTAAAATGATAAGGGGGTCCAGTTACGAGACAAAAAGAAAAATAGTTTACCCTTTTTTCATTTTGGTCCAAAGTATCAATTTTCTTTTTTTAGTAATTGTACTATCTACCTAACATTACAAATATCCTTCTAATTTACAATATATTACACAAATGTCATTACTTTTATATCATACAATATTAATAGGGTTAATGTAGTCCTTTTACCTTTATTTTTACTTTATACAAAAAGCAAATGGATATATAGATATGAGACGGATAAAGTAATTTTTTTGTATTAAAAAATATGTTGTACTTATTTAATTTTGGGCATGTTGGTAATATAGAGAAGGATATTTATGATGTTATCTGAGTTTTGTGAATGGATAATATATATTATGTATATATTTATATATTGTTTTTTTTGTAATATTAATTGAAATGTATATATATATATATATTGTCGGATGAATATTTCCTTTAATTTTTATGAAAAAAAAATAATATTTTGAGGAGTTGTAATTTAAAGGGTTGAGTATTTGCTAGAGATTTTGAATTGAATATTATAAATAAATTATAATATGATATTTAAATGTAATATGCAAAATAGTAAATCTTAAGAGTGGATGTAACACCAATTATTATTATACCTACCAAAATCACTTAAAATAAAATAATGAATGTATATCTATATTACTAAATTTATTTATAGCACAACCACATCACTACTACGGAACATAAGCTAAGGGACAATCTTTGCAGTATGCGTTTGTTATTTTTTTATTCAATCATTATTATACACTTTACAAATAAATATACTTGATCATTTTATAAGACTACATTAAATAATATAATCAATTCAAAAATTTTAATCCATTTTTCATTGTCATTTAATACAATCCATATAAATTTATCAAGGAAAATTTTAAATTTAAATTCAAAATTTTATATATATATATATATATATTTTTTATGACGTGAGAATCCGCAGCCGCTGCTCACAAATGTGCACGGGCTATTTTCTATATATCTTCTTCACTAATACATGTGTATGTATATGATGTATCTATATATGTATGTATATATATCATGAGTGTGTTTGTTAATTAGCTAGTATTTAATACACAAATTATCATTTTCCATAATATTTTTATATCTCAGCGTGTGTCTGCACAACCACCCCCCCCCCCCCCCCTTCTCTAAATACATGTGTATGTATATTGTATAAAAACAAACACAGCCCATGATTTGCTCGTCAACTAATTAAGGAGTTTGCAAAGTAGAGAAGTGATTATTAATAATAAATAAATAAATAAATTATGGTTGATGATTGATGATATCTCCAATGCTTTTTATTGGGATTTGTGGAAACCCATATATATATATATCTTAATTGATCGATCAAACAAAAATTTTAATATCATTTATATATATTATTGTGGGATTATGGTTGATTTGTTGTAGGATTTATAATGATTGAGGTGTCCTTGCCCACACATACACACCCATGTGGATGAGTGTGTGCATGAGGGATCCAAACATACCCACACACATATATAAAAACTATATATATATATATATATATATGTTATATAAACTCACAAAGAGAGACAGATAAATGATCGATGATAATATGAGGGTCGATTCGATTATATTTATGTTTTTTGATTTTAGGTTTTTAAATATTTGCATGTGCGCACAATCTACTCATAGATCTTATTCGCTGTATATATGATGTTTGAATGATATATTTATTTACATAATTATATATATATATATGTGTGTGTGTGTGTTGTTTATGAGTATCAAATCATTATCTTGAAAAAAGATTAATTAATTAGAATGAATAATAAATAGATCGATCAATCAATCCAAGGTGGCCAACAAAACATAATCCCCTGTTTCCTTCTGTGCTTTTCGACCCTTAGCTTTCTCAATTGCTTAGTTATTTATACATACATACATTCATAGCTTTTTGCATTATTATTATTATTATTATTATTATTATTATTATTATTATTATAAATCTATTATTAATGTATTGGAAGTATAGATTTTCCTATGTACGAATTACGATGTGTGTGCGTGGAGTGACATGAGTTTGCTTTCAACTTGAATGTATTTATTTGGTAATTTATTGTCATATTGAATACGATTTTTTTCTTTATTTTTTTATTTATTTATATTTTTAATACTAGTGTATGAGATAATGAGAATTGTAATAATTTTATTTTTATTTTTTTAAAAAGATCTCGAAGTAAACAAAATATTGAAGAATCCATCCCAGTAAAATTGTATTGAAAACCC